CACACACACACACACACACACACACACACACACACACACACACACACTTCATTCGATTCTGCTGCTTTTCTCCGAAAGACAGCAAATCAGCCCTTCACTATTTGCCTAATTGACGGGCTATCGCCGTAGTTCACCACGTACACCGTTTCAGTGGAGTTGCGTTGCTAGGCAACAGCGTTGGTCCATGTCAGCCGATGTCATTCACATACACTGCAACGGGAAACTAACCGGGACACATTTGGAATGTTTGCGACTGTGAAACGGTCAGTAGGACGACAGTGTTCACTATTACCGCCGTTATTGTCTTTGTGAGAAAAATGCTGAAAAAATGTCCGTCACATGTTTTCAGAGCTTTGAAATTGTTTTACTTGAAATCATCAAAAGTGTCAAAGTTGCTGTCAGCTACAAGAACCTAAGAGGTTTGAAGATGTTTCTGTTTTGAGTGAAGTTCATACTGTTTTAAACTACAATACCCATTATAAAATATTAGTCTTTTGCCTGGAAACCTGGTGCAGATGTGACGAGAGTTTCTTGGCACAATGATCTGTACTCAAGTGAGCTGCTCAAAGATGACACATTTTACTGAATCTTAAAGCGAACGCCCTGTGGGTCAAGGTATAGACAGCTTTCTTTTAAATCTTCTTTAATTAAAGGACTACATTTCCTGAGGATATTTTGCTGCAGTTATATCTGAATGGAACGCTACGACATGGTTACGACTCAAGTCGACTCGCTTTTGTGTTTTTCTTTCAATGAGCAAATGTTGTCGATAGAACCTGGTACTTTTTCGGGTACCACCTCGGTCAAGGATCCAAAGCGAGCTGGGCGATGCTAAAAGGTGGAGTTAAAACACTAAAGACCACTGATTGGTCAGAGGAAACCGTCACCAACGAGACACGGGGCATCCGGCCCAAACCCTCCGTTTATTGCAGAGGTTCCTCTGTTTGGTTTCCACGCAGTGGAAATGAGGCCTCCGACTCTTCAACGGTACATTTAGTTTTTTGGGTGACACGTTTTAAAAGTCCCCTTTTTTCTGAAAGTGTGGCTCAGATTGACATTCAGCTCTTTGCAGCTACACAACCATCCTCTCCAACACTAGTTTATGTGTGTGCGCGCGCACACAAGAGACAAAGCGATACTGACCAACAGTACAGTTGGAGGTAATTCTCCTCCTCTTGGGGTTGTGGCGGAGAAGCTCCAGTTCCCTCTTGGTGGGTTCCCACGTTAAGTACTTCTCCCCTATGCCTGGAACACACACACACACACACACACACACACACACACACATAAACAAACATTCAAAACATTTCATCCTCCAATTTAACCCTTAGACCACCAGACTCACCAGAGACATCATCCAGCTTTCACATGGTGTGTGTATATAGAACATGTGTGGTATGGCTATGTGTGTGTCATACCCTGCATTTTCCAGGCTTTCCTCTGTTCCTCTTTGGCAATCTGCTCCATGTCTTTGTCATAGATGTAGTCTTGGCACATGAAACAGTAAATCCCTCCATACAGCAGGTCGATAGCTGGAAGGAGAGGAGAGGGTGAGAAGGAAAAACAAACAAGAAACGAGGAAGCCGTGAGTCGATGCAGGGACTCTCCTGTTTGACAGAGGGGGAGTCTCTGCGCCAACTGCTTCGTCTCTCTGCTTTTCTCTACTCGGGCCATGTTGCCATGGTGCTGCGATGCCAGGTAGCCGGGCTTATCTGCTGACATATCATTTATCTGTTAACTCCATCCAGGAACGACGGGGGAGACGCCCCAAAAGAGACGGAGGGAGCCTTGATTAGTCAAAGGGTGAGGAGGAGGGAGACCACAACTCCTTCCACTCCCTACTCTCCTCACCTGCTCCATTACGCTGCAGCTACCTGTTTGCTGTTGCCATGACAACCCGCCTGTCGGCATTTCCCGGCCGTCATCCTCTGCAGGTGTGGAGAAACAAAAAACAAAAGGAAGCGAGGGGGGGGGGGACAGGATGAAGGAAGGGAAGGACTGAAGTACACCAAAGAACAGAACTCTACTGAACTGATGGAAAGGGGGTAGAAAAAGATAGAAAAGAAAGCAAGAAAGACGAGGCCGATGGCAGAAGTGTTATCAGATGAAACACTTTGACAACTCTGAGTGTATCGACTGGGTCATCAGGTAACCAAGGGAACAGGAGGAGAGCGGAAAGAGAGGACAGAGGCGAGCCCAATACGAGAGGGTGCAAACGGCATTTACCAAATAGCCGCGAGTGGAAACGCATTAAACAACGGTGGGATGAAAGAGATGGAACGACAACAAAGAAAAGAGGAGGAGGAGGAGGGGCCAGGGGTTTAATGAAGGCTAATTCCACAGGGTTTGTTAAAGACGATTTAATTACCTCCTCAACAGTCTGCTGAGATCTGTCCCTTTCTCTCTACCTCCGTTTCGCACTCGAGTTTTTGTTTTTGCAGCATCTGATTGAGCAGCTAACCTAATTAAACACACAATTACACTCTGTGGGAAACACACATACGCCAGAGGGTGTGGGTGTGTGTGTGTGTGTCTGTGAAGGGGGGGGGGTCTTCCTGAGCTGAGCGATAACGGAGGCTTCGTCACAAAAACAAACTCTGCGGCAGCGGTCGCCTCCGAAAACACTGCAGTGCAACGCGCTTCACTTGCGGCTCAAAGCAGCCTAATTCTATTAAGAGGAGGATGAGAAAAGAGAAAAGAAAAGAAGAAGAGAGCAGCACCGGGCGTAGAGTTGGTATCGCAGCATTTACTCAGACAGGATGATGTCGTTGTGTTGAAGATAACGTGCTGTTTGCCTCTGGAGTCTGCTTTCTGTTCTTATAGACAATAAAGGGTTGTACACGTTGGTACACACTACGCAGCACCTAGAAAACAAGGCTGTGTTATCCCTTGGAATCTTTGGGAATTTCTTACTTCTATTGAAAGTATTGGAGGTCCTATATGACACGGGATTGCCACAATAATGTCAATAGCTTAATTTGAGGGCTTTTCCAAGCAAACGTTGATATATATGCGATTACATCAGCATGGTTCTGCAGCCCTTTAAAGCCTCCATGCCACTCTCTTGCTCTCATGAATATTTATCTGGAACTGCGGCAGACGGAACCCGACTGAGACACTTGCGTTTGGCGTTCCACTTGTCACCCGACTGTAATATCACCCATTCTTTGCACAAAGTAAACCAGACGGGAGTTTACAGGTGAATACTGTTTGTTTTTTTTTGTCCTCCCCCAGACTGCTTCGCATTCACAGGAGACTTCACAAGTACTGCCCGCTCTCAGCGGCTGTTTAGCTGTGTGGGATGAGGTAACACGCAGCGATCATCTCCGCTGTAATTCGGTAGATTTGTGTGCAGTGTTCCGAGTAGCGCAGGCCGCGTGTCCCTGTGGGAGTTAGGGCGGAGGTGGGAAAACAGCCAGGCCGACCCGTTCTCGTGTGTGTGTTCAGCAAAACACCCACGTCTTCGAATCGGGAGCCGTCCAGATTGCGTCTGTTTGATGCAAATATTTTTGCTCGGTGAACTGAAAAAACAAATTTCCCAGGAAAAGCTTTTTTTCTACCTTTATTTGACAGTGGAGAGAGACAGAGAGTAGAAATGTGGG